AAAAGCCCTAAGGCTTTTGGTATGTTGCATGAAATTTGATGGGGGAAGGTAGGGTATATACAGCCTAAGCACAAATAAATTGAGAACAAGCAGTCATATAATTATCAAGCATATGTTGGTAATGAAGAAATCTAAGATGTGATTTCTGAGATTTGAGGGTCAAGAAATGATGATGACTTGGAGCAGGGCGGCAGCAGTGGAGGTGATGAGAAGTGGTAGGATTTGGATATACTTTCAATACAGAGCTGGCAGGACTTAGACCAGCTGGGTGTGGAGTAAAAGGTAAAAGTCAAAGCTATGTTTTTGCTTGAGTGTTGATGCCATTTACTGAGACGGGAAAAACTAGAGGACGTACAAGTGCTTAGTTCTACGCCCATTAAGTTAAGAATGCCCATGAGAAATTCAAGTGAAGACACAAAGGAGCCAGTTTGATATATTAATACTTCTCTGGAGCCCAAAGCAGAAAAATAGACCAGAGATATAAATATGGGAGGCAGTAGCATACAGATGATGTTACAGCCATGAAACTGGATAAGAATTTATTATTAATTTATTGCCTTTCAGCTCCAAATCCAGCCTTCTTTTTCCTACTGTGTGATACTGGAGCTGGACAGTGTAGACATTTTTCCTTTGCTAGTTGACTTGATTTGGGCCAACAGGTACTGAAGGGACATTGCAAGGCTAAAGCAGAAATTTTTCTTCATTCCTCTGGTGTGCTGGAGCCAGTAGATTGATGGGGTGGAGGAGGGGGTTCTCTGCCACTAGATCAGCTATGACCCATATACTCTGCCAAATTTCTTTACTATTGGCAGGCTATATTTTCCTGTGGCACCCACACCCTCTCCGAAGAGATCTGAGTCTTGGCCTGTGGTAGAGGGGGAAGGTCCATCCTTTAAGTTAATTCCTTGTTCACTGTGCATTAGCCCTATGGGTGGTAGCTGCTTTCTGCTGTTGCTATTCCTATACCCCTTAGAATCCTCTTTTATGTCTTTCAGTAGTTAACTACCTTTTATTACTTAACATTTCATATTAAATTTTCCTTCTTCAAATGACTGGGGTGGTTTCTGTCTCTTGAGAGATACAAAATTGGTATTATAGTGGTCTCAGGAGACAGACCATCAAAGATGGGATTTTTGGAATTAATTTAGTCATGCCTTTGATCTTAAGCATAGTGTTGAGCCCTTGCCAATGGGAAATGGGATGCTAGTAATCCAAGGTATACACTGGCATCACAACTAATCACATTATCTCCTGTTGTTGATTGTGATGAAGTGTCTACTGAGGTAAGTGCCTCCAGAGCCCACAAGGCTACTTGCTGCCTTTGACCGTTACCATAATGACTACAAGGACTGTGTTTTGCAATAGATTACACTGAGAACATGGAGCATTTACAGAAAGAAGTAAGAAGCTCATGTCCTTAAACTCTCAGCATGAGTTGTAGTCTGAGTAGAGAATGCTTCCATGGCAAGTCTAAAAGAATCTCTAACAATCTGTTTCCTTGGCTGTGCAGAAGCTTTTTAGCTTGAGATGATCCCATTTATCCAATTTTGCTTTGGTTGCCTGTGCTTTGGGGGTATTACTCAAGAAGTCCTTGCCCAGGCCAATGTCCTAAAGCATTTCTCCAATGTTTGCTTTTAGTAGTTTCATAGTTTCAGGTCTTATAATAGATTTAAGTCTTTAATACACTTCGATTTGATTTTTGTATATGGCTAGGGATAAGTGTCTAGTTTAATTCTTCTGCATATGGCTATCCAGTTTTCCCAGCACCATTTATTGAAGAGGCTGTTCTTTCCCCACTGTATATTCTTGGCACCATTGCATAAGTTCACTACTGGTGTGTGGATTTATTTCTGAGTTCTCTATTCTGTTCCATTGAAGATTGTGACTAAATTTGAGAGTAATTAATATGGTCAGCAATGGACATAATGATTGTTGGGACTGTGTGTCTTCTCTCTTTAGAGAAAGGGGGAGAACTTCTTCATTTGTACCAAGGCTAGCTGTATCTTTTGGGTAGAGACATAAGGTTAGTTATATGGTTGTACTGAAGTTAAAATGTACATAGAAAGGTGCATGTGGAAGCTGATGAGCCGAAGGGGTAGACTGTGCAGGTTAGTATTAATATTCATCGCCTCTCAGTTCCAAATCTACCATTCTTTGGGCCTCACAGAAGACTTTTCTCTTTTGCCAGCTGACTAATAATAAGCTTTGCCAATAGAGGGTGCTGGAGAGACACTACACAGCCAAAGCAAAAGGTGACTCTTCAAGTGTGCTGGTTTACATACAGAGCCACACACTCGCATGCAGGGGACCTGGTAGCATGCTCCACAGTGGCAGCCCCAACTGCATCCTCTAGCAAGTTTCTACACGGTCACAGAAATGGTCCTAAAGATTCAGCTGCAGTTTGCAGCCTCCAGCAAGATTCTCTGCCAAGACAGCAGCAGTCTTCTTAGTCCAATGACCTTTTCTCTAGGTTAAGTTCTTTACTAAGCAGTGGTCCTGACCGTTCAGCTCTGGCCTGTGCCCGCTGGCAAACTTCCCCTTTATCCAGTGACCACTCTCACTGTTCTACTGAGGTAGAACCTCAGAACCTCTGGCAAGCTTCTTTGTCATAGACTCACGGCGTGTTCTGGT